TGCTCCATCACATGGTTTAAACTTATTACCCAGTTACTACTTAACTGAAACCTAACTAACATCACAAATCATATAGCTATAGATGTCAGTAAAGTTTCAATCAGATACGTTCTCCAAACTGTTCAGCTCTGTGGAGAAGTGCCATGATCTCAAATGAGACTGGCTCCAAAAGAGAGTCAATCCCAATAGACACAAATGTTAAAATGTCCAACTTTACAGTGGAAATAAACATGTTTACAACCTGGTATAAAGAACGGTTTTGGTCTCTACAGCTTATTTTCCCATTTACGACAACTGTACAGGGGTTAAATATTCATAGAACTCACCTGTTTGAATTGTATTAGAGCTTAAAGCGGGGCATCATTAGGGCGTGGCTGCTTTGAGTGACAGGTGGGTCCTGTGTTGTGGCAGGACTTGGTTCGGCCTCCCTCGGCTCCAGTCACACTCCATCTGTGTTGCTTTTGCAAAGATGCCAGAGCCAACACACTGAGCTTCAAGACCGCTCTTCAGGAAACCTATAGTTGACATCCATCTGAGGCTTCATCCATCTTTATATACGTCTGTGGTTTAGACCGGCAAAAAAAGTCGAAGTGGGGAGAACCAGTAAGCCTGGCTCCTCCTGGTTTGAATATACATCCAGCAGCATCTCTACCACAAACACAAAATGACACGAGAATGATGTGTTGTAACAGTTTTTGTGTAAGATTGTCTACCTTAGAAATACACATTCCAATCCTCAAGAAGGACCAATTTTACAAAAATACTGGCATTAAGAAAAACTTTACTTTTACCTTCAAGTTGCAACTCAACTGCCTGATTTTACTGCAGGACATGCAGGCGCAGTGTCGACAGATTTCTCTCTTTGGCCTGGCGCATAGATGCCTTCATGGCCGGGGGGAGCTAGTGTCTCATCATCTGGCTGTGTACAAAGTTAGTTAGGACACTTTTCCTACTTCATTTGACTGCTGCATTGCACCAAAATCTCTCGGGCTGCTTTACGTCGCTGTGGAGCGCCGGCGCTCATGTTCAAATGATGGATCCAAACTGATGTTTTATCTAATCCTTCAGAGCAAAGGTCAGTAGAAACACCATACATCAACCTGCCATGGTCTATTTGGGCACTTAACCCAGTCCCAACACCTCAGTGTGTTCTTTTCACTCCAGGGACCGCAGATACAAATAGAGACGCATGCCAAGCCTAATGTAAAAGTCTGCAGGTTATATGTAGGTAGACACAATCCAGTCATGTGATGCGTTGTTTCACCTCACCGCTACTGACAATGACACACTATGATACTAAATCCTACGAGAAAATGTAATCTCAAGGCCTGTTACTGGGATATTTCTGCTTTGATTAATTGTAACCACAGAGAGCTATGCTGAGCATCATTTCACATATTTCTCTTTCAGGTTATCTGTCACTTGTGTTAGGGCTTTTGATAAGCAGATGTCATTGACTGCAGTTCTTCTCGAGGTCAGCGTTGACGTTGATAACAGGAGTTAACCCTTTGAAGCAGCTGCTGTTCTCATCGTGGGTTTGTTTTTTTCACTGTAATATGAAGTCCTGCACGTCTATGGAAACAACATCATCATGGCTAGAAGTGGTTTGAAAATAGAAATGTCTTTTTTTGCAGTACAACACATTAAAGATTAATTAATTAATATAATGACTTGTTTCACAGTTTAAAAAAAAACAAAAACCTGGAACAAACATTTTCCAAGTGACCACAGGAATTTCCAAATACTAAAAAAAATCTAGAAATGACTGTTCATGCTGTAGATATTTTACGACTTCCATTTTTAATTTATTTCTATACTTGTTTCCTATCTGCTTTGTATAAGCATGGCCTGCAGTTCAACCCAGTTAAACAAAAAGGAGCTTCATTGTTGACTATCCTATCGGAGTCACTCGTTTCTAGTTGTGCCAAGTTTGTTTTAACAGAACTGGATAGAGCAAATAGTCTATTTTTTTGTGAAATTTTGAATTATACATGTACATTTTAAACTTAGATTTGGTTCATTTTCTCGACAGGACTGCACTTCACAAGTGGATAGTTCAAGGACCATTAGAAAATTCAAAATTCATTTAATCAGTTTGGTTTTATAGATTGTGGTTCTGATAAATAGTGGAATTCTCGTGATTTTTTTTGAAGCCATAAGTGTTTTGCACATACAGTATACATGCAGTGGTTCACTCCGAACTGTGCCGGTCGTGTTGTGGTGCTGAAGGGCTTTGGAGTGGAATGTGAGGGCCCAAAGCTTGCTTGCGTTTCTCCTGCAGCATTGTTTTACCACGGTGACTGCAGGCCGCTCAGACGGCTGGGCCAGGTGTGCTGACAGGTCTTCTGAGAGGCCATGCCAGTGTCATAGTAGAGAGATCCCTGAGGGGAGTCGGTCATACAGGCTGCCGTGTTCTCCCAGACTAGAAACATACACCAGAAATGAATCGACTGTGACAGAAAACATGGCCACTAAAGCTGCATTTCCAAGAATCTCATATTTCTAAATGCATAATAGAAATGAATACATGATGTCGGGTATGAATAATATCTTTTCAACTTAATCCAGTTATATCTAACTTGGCACAAACGTGCACTGCATTTAAAGCAGGTCTTTCTGTCAGACCACATCCACCACAGGCCTGATGCTAAGACCGTACATACACAGTGCAACAGGCAGTGTAGCTCCAATACAATACAGTGCAGTACTCATTTAAGTAATCCTTTGAACTGATTTTGATATGAATTTTTTTTTTAAAAAGAGAGAGAGAAACAGTCTCAACATTCAGTCTTAAAATTCAACCCTACAAATCAAATCAAGTGTGGAACGATGATTCATTTATTATCAGCTCCCAACACTAATATATGAAGGAAGAGTCTGACATTTTGTGAAACATGTTAATTCACCACTTTCACGACTGTACTGTAAATATGAAGCTACACTCAGCAACAAGTTAGACTAGCTTAGCATAAAACTGGAAGCACTTACAAATAGCTAATCTGTCTCTGTCCAAAAAAAAAATCTACCTAAGAAGGGTCCCTAAAGCTCACTAAATGTCAAGTATTGTGTTTGATCGATACAAAAAATGGCTTAACACTTCACTGACGACTGGCTGTTGGGGCAGAGGAACGGTACAAACAACCAGCACTGGCGTAAAGGAATGCTCCCACAGATTATAATGTCTGGTATGGGCTGGCCGATATTGATTATTGGTAACCAAGGAGACGGTTGCCAATGTTTATAACCAATATACATACACTGTAAAAAGATTGTTTTAAATGTAACAGTTTTTAACTGTTTTGTTTGGAACAATTTACAGTTATTTAACATATTTTGCCTGTTTTGTAAGTAACAGATAATTAATCAATAATTAATAATAACTAAATTTACATATCAATCCTAAAAAACAGACCAGAGCTAGAAGTAATGTTTCCATCAAAGATCTGTATTTTTGCAATTGGTAATTCATTCTTTTGCAGTGTTTGACTAATTAAATTGCACTTTTTTTTTGTACTGTTTCTAAATCACCTGAATTACCCTCTTTTTTAAAATTTTTTATCTTTTCACATCTTGTTGCTGTTAATTTTTATAATTTTCACAGTTATTTAACATTACTGTACCAGTATATACAGGACCTCTTGGCGTCATTGTTTACCCTTCAGTGGATTTTTTAATGTTCAGGCAGTTTATTAGACCTATAAAAGTCCCTGAATACCAGAAATAGATGCCATAAGTCAGTAGAAACATGTTCTCTGCTGCTTCTCAGCTGTTGCTCCCTTTCAAGCAACAAGAAGTTTGCTTTCTAGCGTGTGATTAATGTTGTAAAATGGAGTATTTTAACCCTAACCAGGATCTTTTTCTAACCAGTGAGTGAAAATTAGACTTAAGTTACAAAATAGAAATAAACTAACTAAAAAACCTTAGTCTTTTGAAGTGAAAATCCTGTGACTTGTGCCGTCATAAATCCTCCGACCTCCTTATGGAAAGCTCCTGTGTGTCAACATGGAATACTGACCCTCGTGGCATCGTCACCAAAGGACGCTTTGAACGTGTCTCTGAATTACCAGGGACTTTGATTAAACTTTGCAAAATGTGAATGGGTTGAAGCTGCAGTCCTGGAAATACTCATAAAATACTTGAAGTGAATGAGTTGTAATTAAATGGAGCTCTGTTCTTGGATAGCAGCTACAAGCTTGGCTGACAGCTAACACACTTGTCGCCATTATAGTACACAGTTTGTTTGCAATCAATCACATTTGTCCGGCTGTTTTGTTGTGTTTAGTTCTAATTGAATTCTTGACTGACTTATTGGGAGCAACTATGTAATTCAAGATATGCTGAGAAACATGCAGTTATAGTTAAAGGTCTGAAAAGAGAAAATGCTGCCAAAAAGTCAACAAGAAAGGCAACACCGACATCCAAATACTAGAGACCTGAAATAAATCCTACCTTCGCAGAATTGATCACGTCTCAACGCTTGTGCTGGATTGAATTTTATTCACAGATGTCACTGGATATATATGATACAGCTATATTTATAGCTTACTGCTATTTGAGGATAATAAAAGATATGTGGAGTCTTGCCATAAAATATAGAGCGGTTGCTTTTCACAAGGCATGACGCAACTATTTGTGCTTCTCACAGCCTGAAATTATTTAAAACAAAATGTTTAGATCTTTGGTCTAAAAACTCAATGACATTGCACAATTTGTTCTCAATGAATCATTTTCTTCTTTCATCTTTTGTTCTTCCCCTCTTAGTACAGCGTTTCCCCGTCATTAGGAGACTGCAGTCGCTGTCAGCCTCAGTGGGAACTTGTTCTTTTGGAGTTCTTTGCAGCGTGCCAAGAAATGCTGCAGTCAGGTATTTGTGACAGACACCTTTTAATCGAGCTAAACTCGCCTTTCTCTTTGTGTGCCCACAGGCTGATGGTTTCCTCTGCTGAGCCCTGACAGCACCGAGGATCTTTCCAATTTGAGATCAACTGTCTCCATTTCAGCGCTGTCTGCTTACTCCCATCCAATGGAATTAGACATCATTACTTAATCATTAGTTTCCTGGCAGCCGGCTGGCTTTTCAGTGCTAAAAAAAAAAAAAAAAACTGCCTTAACTCCTGCGCAGCCTGGGTATAATAGTAATAAAAAAAAACAAAACAGGAAAGAATAAAGATAGATAGTTTACATTTGTAGCACCTGGTGGAATAAAAGAGCAGCAGAGCTGAGATAAAGGACATTTAGTTCCAGCTTTCCTTGTGCCAAGATGGATGAAACGCAAAACAACAGGACTTCCTTGGTTAAAGGTGCCAAGGACATCGCTAAAGAAGCCAAGAGGCATGCTGCCAAAAATTTCAGCAAAGCTGTTGATCGTGCCTCAGATGAATACTCATCCCACCGCAGCTACAACCGCTTCCAGAACGAGGATGAAGAAGAAAACAACTACAACAATTACACTCAGCAGGATGGTCACTATGCCGGCAACGCAGCGAACGACGAGGACGGGGCCTCCAGCGACGCCACGGAGGGCCACGACGACGAAGACGAGATCTATGAGGGGGAGTACCAAGGTGTGCCTTCCTACAACGATGGGAAGCCACGGGAGGGACAGGTGGCCGTGGGCCAGCCGGTCTCTGACAGCCTAAAGAGCCGCAAGGAGCTGGAAAATGAGAGACAGGCAGACGAGGAGGAGTTGGCCCAGCAGTACGAGCTGATCATGCAGGAGTGTGGCCACGGGAGATTCCAGTGGCAGCTGTTCTTTGTGCTCGGCCTGGCTCTCATGTCGGACGGCGTGGAGGTGTTCGTGGTGGGCTTCGTCCTGCCCAGCGCCGAGACAGACATGTGTGTCCCCAACTCTGGTGCCGGATGGCTCGGTAAGGATGTACATGGCAGTGGAAAAACCCTCTATTTAAATGAAATGCTCACGTTATATACTGAATGCTGTATCAGTACATTAACTGCAGTAACTTTCCACACTCTTCAGAGTAGTTCTTACACAAATACTTTCTCTCACAACGATACCCCTCCACCACCACCACACAGGGAGACACGTATGTGGGCTAAAATACATCAAGTTAAAGAGCAGCTTAACAACCCTTAAAAATCTTGTTTTGTTGACGTGCAGTTGTTGAACTTTTTCTCTGGCTGTAGTGATGCAGAAGTGTTGTGAAACATCACTGGTGGGTGTGAATACTGACCAACTGGTTAAAACAAACTGTTTTAACATTTAATGCCTAGAATGGATATGTACAGGAGGAATCCTAGTTCAGTTCTTCATGATGCCACTTTTACCATCCATCCATCCATCCATCCATCCATGATC